TTGAAGTCAGTACTATTGAGGTTGTTTTAAAGATTAAATGAAAATGTTAAATGAAATGTTAAAAGATTAAAATTGTAAAATGCCTGGCACAGTACTGTAACTATCATAGTTTGGTTATGTTGTAGTTTTCTATGTGTATAGATTTTATTTATTGTTATTATGTATTACTATTTCATCTTCTACAAATACTGTGCCTGCATACCAAAAAAGCCAAACCCAACACTGAGTCAGTTTTGACTCATAGTACCCATGTAGGACAGAGTAGAACTGCCCCATAAGTTTTCTAAGGCTGTAAATCTTTTTTTTTTTTTAATTTGATTATGATTTGGGTGAAAGTTTACAGAGCAAATTCATCTTCCATACAGCAGTTCACATACAGTCTGTCTCATGACATTGACTGCATTCTCCCACAATGCAAAAGCTCTCTTCCTATTTCCTCCCTATAGCCACCTCTTCCCTGTGTTCTTCTCTCCCATGCACTCCTGGCCACTGAGCTGTCTCCCTGTGCATACACAGCCCTTCTATTCCCCCATGATTAATCTCTCCAAGGAGTATATCCACCCAATGTAAATGTTCACCTCATATGCCTGTATTTTTTTGGCTAGAAGCCACAGGATAGGTCAATTCCAAATCTGAAGAGCAACTAAGGGCCATAGTCTCAGGGGTTCCAGCAGGCTCTATCTGACCAACAAACCTGGTCCCTTTTTTTATGATTTTGAGTTTTGTTCCACATTGTTCTCCCACTCTATCCAGGATCTCCTAAATAGACTCCCCTCCAAGTGATTGACAGTGGTAGCCAGGCACCATATAGTTCTTCTGGTCTCATAGTCATATAGGATGAGGAGCACATGATTTACCTGTCCCTTGGACTAATTGTTTGCATGCATCTTTGGTTTTCTTCATTCTTCTTTGCTCTGTACGAGTAGAGACCCATCGTTGCACCTAGATGGCCACTTGCAAGCTTTAAAGATCCCAGTCGCTACTTGCCAAAGTAGGATGTGGAACAATGTTTTTGTGTAGTATATTATGCCAATTAAGCTTGATGTCCCCTGCGACCATGGTCCTGAGCACACAGTCCAACTACTCACTCCCTCTGTGTAGCTGGCTGTAGCCAAGAAGTGACTACAACCTTGTCCGTTGTCAGCTCTATACCTGGACATTCTTACAGAACATACAAATACACTTGTAGAAATATTGTCTGCCAGCCCTATTCATGGTCATGGGGACACTCCCCTGCATAGACATGCCTAGTAGTTCAGCTTGTCCACCCATCTATCCACCCATATATCAGTGTTTGCCATCACTGACAACACAGTACTGTACATGCAAAAGGGTTCATTTTTGTTGTCTGTATCTCCCATGTACTTCTTTATGTCTTCCTCTTCCTCAATGCCACCATGTTGATCACTCACATTTGGTACATTATAAGGCTATAAGTCTTCATGGAGGCAGACTGCCTCATCTTTCTCCCACAGAGCAGCTTGTGGGGTTTTGATATATATATCCTTAAACATCTGGTAGCATAATGCCTAAGGCATTTGACTGCAAACCAGAGGGCTGGCAGTTCAAATCCACCAGCCACGCCTTGGAAGGAAGGTTGGGCAATCTACTTCCATAGTGATATTGCCTCGGAAACCCAAGGAGGGTCGCTATGAGTCAGGTCTGACTCGACGGCACATAACAACAACAACAACAAACATGTATCAGTATCTTTTTATTGGCATATATTTCAGTTTGAACTGTGTTATGTCTTAAGTGAGTATTACTTTGTCTCTCCTAAATGACAGAAAAGGATCTATATTTCTACCTTTTATCTCATTTTTTAAGCTTATATCATTTTATTGGTCTAGTGTCCAGTTACAGCTATCTGATTGAAATTTTAAGTGTTGCAAAGTAAAATCAGAGCTGCAGATCATTTCAATGCAGTTTGGTCATGTTCTTTATATATTGTATATAAGGAGCTCTGGTGGCATAGTACTTAAGGCATTTGACTACTAACCAGAAGGTTGGTGGTTCAAACCCACCAGCCACTCCACAGAAGGAAGGTTGGGTCACTATGAGTCTCAGTTGACTCGATGGCAATGAATTTGTTTTGTTTTGTTTTGTTTTGGACCAACCGTTCCCTACAGAAAGAGATATCATGCTTGTTCAAGTGGAGGATCAGAAGAAAAGCAGAAGGGCCTCAATGAAATGGATTGACACACTGGCTGCAATGATGGGCTCAGGTATAGCAGGGATTGTGAGGGTAGTATGGGACCAAGCAGTGTTTCTATGTTGTACATAGGGTCACTGTGAGTCAGAACTGACTTAGTGGCACTAACAACAACACAACAACCAACTTTTGAGAGTCTTGGGGTAGTGCAAATGATTAATACACTTGGCTGCCCACTGAAAGGCTGGAGGTTTGAGTCCACCGAGCACCTCAAAAGAAAGGCCTAGAAGTCTGCTTCTGAAAAATCAGCCATTAAAAACCCTATAGAGCACAGTTCTGCTGTGACACACATCGGGTCCCAATGAGTCAAAATTGATTCAACAACAACTGGGCTGGGACTACCAACTTATATAATTTGATTGATAGCTAGTTAGCTATATACCTTGAATAATATCTTTGATGCGCTTATGAATAATGTGAATTTCCATTTTTTTAGCATATCAAACCAGCAATGCAATTAAAGGAAAAGATCAAAAGGAAAGACCACAGCCTAATGATTTGAGTTCAGAAAATTAGTACAAAAAATTATTCATAACAGAATAGCTAGACATGCTATGTGCAGCCACAGTTCTAAGTTTGTATCTTAAGCTGGACATGGTGATTTTATACCATATATCAAGATAAAAAAAATGAAACTCTTTGCTGTTGTGTCAGATCCGACTCATAGTGACCCCTCCTTGGATTTCTGAGGCAGTATCACTATGGAAGTAGATTGCCCACCTTCCTTCCAAGGAGTGGCTGAAGGGTTTGAACTGCCAGCCTTCTGGTTAACAGTCAAATGCCTTAGGCACTACACTACCAGAGCTCCCTATATCGAGATCAAGAAAATAAAAAATTATTTTATAAGTCAATCACAGAAGGACAAATATTGTATTAGTCTGTTATTGTAAAAGTCAAGTAAAGCGTTATCTGTAGAAATTTTCTTTGTTGGTTACCAGAGATGGGAGGGAACACTGTTAGATAGGTAGAGATAAGTATTGATTTGGGTGAAGAGAAGGGCAATGTACCAAATGTGAGTGATCAGTATGGTGTCATTGAGGAAGAGGAAGACATAGAGTGGTACATGGGAGGTACAGAAAACAAAGATGAACCCTCTTGCACATACAGTACCGCATTGTCAGTGAAAGCAAACCAGTATATGGGTGGCTAGATGGGTGGACAGGCTGAACTATTAGGTATGTCTATGAAGTGGAGAGTGTACCCAAGACCATGTATAGGGTTGGCACACAATGGTCCTATAAGTGTATTTGTATGATCTATAAGAATTCCCTTACAGATAAGTATAGTAGAGCTGAGGAGCTCTAGTGGCATAATGCCTAAGGCATCTGACTGCTAACCAGAAGGCTGGCGGTTCAAACCCACCAGCCACTCCTCACAAGGCAGGTTGGGCAATCTACTTCCGTAATGATACTGCTTTGAAAATCTAAGAAGGGGTCACTATGAGTCAGATTCAACTCGATGGCATTGCATTTGATTTATAGTAGAGCTGACAGGGGACAAGGTTGTAGTCACTTCTTGGTCACAGCCAACTACCCAGAGGGACTGAGAAGTTGAACCAATGGGCTCGGGACCATAGTCACAGGGAACATCAAGCTCAATTGCCATAACATGCTACACAAAACATTGTTCACCTCCTGCTTTGGCGAGTAGCGACTGGAATCTTAAAAGCTTGCAAGCAGCCAACTAGATGCAACGATGGGTCTCTCCTCATCCAGAGCAAAGAAGAATGAAGAAAACCAAAAATTCTTGGAAACAATTAGTCCTAACAACTGGTACACCATACAATCCTCAGCCTGTATGACTATGAGACCAGAAAAACAAGATGGTACCTGGCTACCACTGTAAACCACTCAGAGGGGGATCTATGTAGGAGATCCTGGATAGAAAGGGAGAACAATGGGGAACAAAACTCAAAATCATTTGGGGAACAAAGTGGGGGGAGGGACCAGGTTTGCTGGTTTGATAGAGCCTGGTGGAACCTCTGAGACTATGGCCCCTAGCTGCCCTTCTGGTCTGGAATTGAGCCCACACCTGTGACTTCCAGCCAAACAAAAGACAGGCATATGAGTTGAACACTTACCTGAGGTAGATGCACTCCTTGGAGAGAACAATCATGGGAGAAAGAAGGGCTGTTTATGCACAGTGAGACAGCTCAGGGGGCAGGAGTGCATGGAGGGATGGACACAGGGAAGAGGTAACTATGGGGAGGAAGAGGGAGGGGAGCTGTTGCATTGTGGTAAATTGTAGTCAATGTCATGAGACAAAGTGTATGTGAACTGTTGTATGGAAAGTGAATTTGCTCTATAAATTTTCACGCAAATCACAATAAAATAAACTATTTTAAGGTGGCCCTGTGTAAAAACATGAATTTCTTCTTGTTCCTGATTTCCTTTCCTTGAGAAGTTTTCTGTTCCTTGGCATTTGACTGCTAACCAGAAGGCTGGTGGTTCAAACCCACCAGCGACTTCTCAGAAGGAAAACTGGCCAATCTACTTCCCTAGAGATAGCGCCTCAGAAACCCAAGGAGGGGTTACTATAAGTCATATCTGACCTAACGGCAGTGAGTTTGGTTTTTTCTTTAGAGGGGCTGGAGACCTCTCAGAATCTGTAACCGATTTTCCCCAGCCCTGTGCCTACAGCTGTGATCTGGAGCAGTACCATGATCACTATATGTTTCCTGTGAACCAGACTGCATCTTTGCAATGTGCTTTTCTAAGAGGACAGCAGAGAGAAGAACCATGGGAGACAGAGCACACAGGCCTGGCAAATTCTGCAAGGTCTGTCCAAGTGCAAGCACAGGACACCACAATCCACTGTGGCCAAGGAAATACAGGCGTGGTGAGATCCAGTCTGACCTGACATGACTTCCGCTCTAGCTGAGTTGCTATACCTTGCCACCCTCTCTTCACCCACCCTGTTTGCCTGTCAAGTGACCTGCTTTGCCCTGTCTCCCAGCTGCTGTTAGATGGAACAGCACTTGTGTAGCCAGCTGGCAGTCTTGGTAGGTCAGCCTTGTTATGCTGATTTCTTGGTTTTATAGTTATAACTGGCCAGAGCCAAAGCAACACCATGTGCCACAGAAAACTGGTGCAAACTGAACCCCCAAAGCAATCCTTTGGATGAATACCTTTCTTCACATGAGATACCCTGTGATATGTAAGCAAGTAGCCTTGTTTATTCCTGAATGGATTGCCTGGCAGTGGCATTATAGATGTTCTGAACCTTCAAATGTATTTGTTTAGTTACAGTAGGTGTCACTCTACAGTGGCATCTGGACAGGTGCTTGCTTGACTCTGGAGTGAGAATAACAACCATATAGTATACCTTTCACAAGTACTTGTCAGTATTGAAAATAAGCGTGTAGAACTATTAGGTATGTCTATGAAATGGGGAGTGTATCCAAGAACATGTATAGGGTTGGGAGACAATGGTCCTATAAGTTTATGTGAATGATCAGAATTCCCAGGTGCATAGTAGAGCTGACAAGGGGCAAGGTTGTGGTCACTGCTTGGTCACAGCCAGCTACCTAGAGGGACCGAGTAGTTGAAC